GTGTGTGTTTCCTGAATGACTCAGCTTCAGGGAACTTGTGGAGTCACTGTGACTGTTAGAAACTCAACTCTGTGCAGATTCATTGTGTCCAGGTCGGACGGCTCAGAGGTTCTGGTACCAGACAGACGATGTGTTGGGACCAGAACCAGCTCTAGTGTTCAGCGTTCACCGCAGCAGGATCAGTTTAGAGTCTGACTGAAGACAGTTTATAGTTTAAATGTCTTTGGTGTCTGCAGAACCTGTTGGTGTCACCTGACTCGGCTTCCTAGGCTACCGGCCAATCACGGCGCCAGAAGCTCACCTGCTGAATCTCAGCTAATATCACAACAAAGGCGCATGAAGCTGGAGCTCAGTCCAGACACGTTCAGAACTCTGCTCGCTGCTTCTGACAGCAGGATCTTATTGAAACCGTTCGACTGCTCCTGCAGCTCAGAGACTCGTTAACGAGTCAACATGTGGAAACCTGCGACCGTCTCATCAGCAGCACGCTGTCTGCTGATTGGTCCAGATTGGCTGCTTAAACCTCAGGTGGGAAACGTGAACAAACCAACAGCTTCAGACTGACGAGCCGTACCTCGGTGAAGTTGATCTTCTCTCCGGTGAACATCTTGTCCCGGGCCTCCTCGACTCCCCTCGACTTCGCCTGAACACAAAACATTCAGTTCGTATCAGATTCTTACTCAAACTGAGGTTGATAACAGCTGCGTTTCGTCACATGCCGACCAGCAGCACAAAGACGTGGCTCAACCGTCTGTCAACATCCAGTGTCGCAACGTTCCTCTTTCACTGCAGCTTTGAGCAACAGATTCCAGGATTTAAACACCAGAGTTCAGCTCTGATAAGGAACCGCAGCCAGTTCACACCTTTAACCTGCAGCCTCAGCTCCGGTTAAAGGTGTGAACTGGCTCTGGTTCCTCACCTGGCAGCTCCACCTGCAGCACTTTTCCACACTGACATGTCAGTAGCCTTGATGACTGGGACTCACGGCTGCATGTGGGGTTTTTCAGAATAAAGCTTCCTTAGTTACCATGGCGATCAGCATGTCCATGACCTCCTGCGTGATCAGGTTCTTGGAGTAGTCGAGCAGAATGTCTCCGTCGTCCGTCTTCAGAGTCGTGCTGCAAAGTCACAGAAGAAACGCAATAAAACATGAAGTGAAACAAAATGAAACATCCGCCGCCGGGTCGCCGGGTCGCCGGGTCGTCGGGTCGCCGGGTCGTCGGGTCGCACTGCTGCAGCTGATGTCACTGTTCACTGATCAGTCTCACATTATAGATGATCCACTATTAACACCATTAATGGTTTAGTTTATGAAAGCATTTTAATGAGCCAAAGTCTTTAAACATCTGGTTCTGTTTGACCAGAAGGAAATCATCTGACATCCCTCCTCCGTCAGCTGGACACCATCTCCCACACGCCCCCCGTCCAGCCGGTGAACTGGTCCTCTCTTCACTCCCACTGGTGTCTGTTCATGTATTAAACTATTACAGGTCAAACTCCGGCTTGCCTACGTTCACCACTCATCACCTCCTCATCCCCAAAGCTCACACCGTCTGTGGCCGCTGTTCATTTCAGTTCTCTGCAGCTCTCGACTGGAACCAGTAACAGAAAACACTCAAACTCACCGCTTTCATTCCTCTATCATCTTCTAAAAACATGGTGAAGGCACTACCTACTGAGTCCTGGACCTGCTTTTGGTGCCTTTTATTCTTATGTTCTGTTTTGTATGGATGGATTCCTTCTTTTGGATTCTCTGCTCTGTGCTGCCTCTTGGCCCGGTCCGGTCCCTACCGCACAGAAATCAATCTGAGACCTGAAATCCGTAACAGTCAACAAGCTTCTGTTCATTAATCAGTTACTGACACAATGATTTAATCAGCCTCATGTTTCTGCTTTTCTGTTTCACAACAAGAACTAAACTCACCGGATCTGGATTCATGAAATCAGAAGACGGACAGAGGAGTCATCAGACCAACGGAACAACCAGAACTAATGATTCTGGTTCTGGTTAAATCTACTTTGTTAATTAGTTGATTAATTGTTGCATGTGCAGGTTAAACAGAGAGAAGCTTTTTGTTGAACTCAGCTGTTAGTGCCGATGAATAAGAAGCTGTTCACTGACACATGAGCTGAAGGTCGGACCTCCGCTCTCTGCGGATGTTCTGCGGATGTGCCGCACATCACGTAGCCCTGAATCCGCCTCCAGCAGCGGCGCTGCGGCTCCACGCAAGCCGCCTGTCGGTGCTTCTGTCCGGGTTCTTGTTCATTAGTTCATCGTCGGAGAGTCTGAACTTAAACCCGCAGTTCGCAGTAAATCTGCTCCAACTGTTGCCTGTAGCCGCTGCGTCCATTATCGGACAGGCGCCTGCCAACAGGTCGTTAGCTTGATGCTAACAGCGAGGCGCTTTAATGAGGAGCTCCGTTAGCAGTTAGCTTCATCATCAGTGTCTCACCGACATCTCACTTTATAAACGGTCGTTTCTGTCACATGTCATCAGGAAATTACGCCAATAAAATACGGAAAACAGTGAATTTAATAACTAACAGCATCAAATTATGAGCTTTAATCCAATTAGATGACGGTTCAAGTGCGTTAAAATGAGATCAAACACCGTCCACCTGAAACACATCACCTGTCGGAGGGACTCAATAAACCTGCTAACATGCAGGAAGTTCATCTGAAGCCACGGACACGTTCACGGAGCTCTCTGTCCAGTAATGGAAGCAGCGACATTAGCAAGTCGGCTAATCCTCGCTCAGCTGTCAAACTGACGGTGGAAGCGAGACGCGCCTGTCCGATGATAGGAGCAGCGATATGGGCAGGGCAGCGAACACGCCAGACCTTGTCCGATAATGGAACTTGTGGCGTTAGCGCAGCTGCAACCTCGGCAGCGTAATCGTCTGTGACAGCGGGCCTGCAGCCCGGTTCGGCGGCCTCCCGACGGGCAACAGGACGGTCACCAGACGGCAGGGGTTACTATCACCGCTGGAACCGCCTCTACAGGCGGAATTTAGGCTGGAAAGTGGCGGAATTAGACGGTGACCTTGTAGCCGCGCCGAGCGGAGAAAGGAGGAGCGTTAATAAACACGGAGACACCTGCGGGGCTGTGCGGGGCTGTGCGGGCCACACACGGCCGGCAGGTCGCTGCCTGACGCGGAGCATCCCGCCCACCTCCTCCCCTCCATCCTCCGGCTCTGCGCGGAGCTTCTCCCACCTGAACTTGCTGAACCGCTCCGGGTCTCGGTCGAACATCTCCCGCATGTTCAGGCCGCCGCCGCTGGCTTTGAACCACTGCTGCAGCTTCTGGAAGGTCGGGTCGGCGGTCAGAGCCATGACGGTGTCCGCGGTGCTGCTGCTCGGTGCTGGATGTCTGGATACTACCCCCCGGGTGACTCCAACCTCAGTGGCCGCTGGAGGACTGAGGCTCGGCGGCTACAACAGGCAGGTGGAGCCGCTACAGAGTGGGTGATGTCAGAGCGGCCTGGGCCAATCACAGCCGAGGACTCGCTCCTCCCGCTGCTTGACCCCGCCCACTGACGGGCTGCGTCACGTCCACGGAGTATGGAGGCCAATCAGTGCCAAATATACGCAGGCACGTAAACCACCGAATTATGTAACAAAAGGAGGAAATTAAAGAAAACTGAAGTGAACGGAGTATGGAGGATCATTAGTGCCCACATCACACAGCAGAACTACAAAACAAAGTAGTACCAGTGTTCTTTTCCTTTATTCTGTTACGCAAAGTAACGGGATTATATCTGAGCATGGAGGATTATTACCGTCTGTAATATTATAGCTCAGTCATGAAGATCTGAATGTACTAAATATGTAGAGGAAGATTAGATCTCATTTTTAATTGAGTGTAATCAGACAATCTAATGCAAATGGATATTGTAGGTTTACTGCATAGTCCTGTGTGTTATATTATTATGTATGTGTTCCATAGCACATGCTGGAGGAACATTAGTGCCCAAACTGTGTTGAATTGAGGTTACATAAATAAGATTAGACTGTATACAGACGTATATATACGGAGGAACATTAGTGCTCAACTGGGACGGGTTCTTCCATTATGGGATTGGATTTAGTATGAAGGCTTGTGTCCATATGATCTTAAGTTATCCATCCATCCATTTTCTATACACCGCTTAATCCTCATTAGGGTCGCGGGGGGGCTGGAGCCTATCCCAGCCGACTTAGGGCGAAGGCAGGGGACACCCTGGACAGGTCGCCAGTCCATCACAGGGCCACACTTAGAGACAGACAACCAAGCACACTCACAGTCACACCTACGGAGAATTTAGAATCACCAATTAACCTCAGCATGTTTTTGGACTGTGTGGGAGGAAGCCGGAGAACCCGGAGAGAACCCACGCTGCACGGGGAGAACATGCAAACTCCACGCAGAAAGATTCCGGTGCCCACACCGGGACGCGAACCGGCAACCTTCTTGCTGCGAGGCAACAGTGCTACCAACTGTGCCACCCTGCAGCCCCGATCTTAAGTTATGTAGAATTAAAATACCACAGCTGATGATTCAACTGTAGGCGGTTTGGTGAAAGATTAGTTCCAATAATACGACCCAGTTGTTTACCTGAGCAGCCACAGGTGATCACACCTGGTGCAGACTCGCATCATATGGAGGCAAACACCAATAAACCATTTAGAAAAACTCTGGAGACACCTTTTGTTTCTAATGTTTCACTTGAAGCTTGAACAAAGAAAAATGTGAACATGACCATCTTCCACCAGCTCCAAGTTGCTGAATCTCATTCTTCAGCACATTTTAGTTTCACAAGTTGAGTTTTATCCTGTTTTGCTTTTCGTGGACAAACTGCTGCTGTATATTGTAAATAAACGTCATCTCTGATACTCAAACTGTACAATCAGATGGAGGCACATTAGTGCCAACAATACAAACCACCTCAGTCACATAAGCTGTAGGTGCTGATATAGTTTAGCTACATATGAAAATGAATCCATCAGTACGGAGGCTCACAGGTGTCAGAAATACCAGGTTACTTCAACTCAAGGTGCTTTAGCTGAATACGGAGGGTATTTAGTGCCAATAAAAACAACAACTTAGTTGCTCCCTTTAGAAATAATGCACTGGTGTCTGATATAAGACGTAACTTCCTCCTTTTTCACCATCACACAGGTTAATAAATGATGAAACCAGTTGGGACTGTTGCGGACCATGTTGGGCTTGGTGCTGGTTCTTGTTCTCAGGACTTTGAAGCGTATCAGCTGTATCTAGTGTTTATCAGAGCAGGAGCCTGAAGACAGTCTGACTAGAGCTCCACAGGAAGTGAAGCGTCTCTGAGGTCCTGGTCTCAGGCAGCACAGACGACACGAGCAGCTACTGAACAACTGTTTATTATTTGCTCTTAATAAAAAGCCCATCGAGCCCTGCTGGGGTCAAAGACAAACTGGTGGCTGAGACTCCAGAGAGCTGCATCAACAGTCTTCTACCAAAAACTTTTGTTTTATTCTCCCAACTCAGCAGCGACTGGCCGACGAGCACCAGGTTGTGTTGGAGGAACAACACCAGTCAGAACTTTCCTGATTCTTTACATATCCAGGATCCGTCAGACTCTCTGTGGTTCTCAGCTACAAACGTTCACCACAATGTGGGAAACAAATGAGGCTGTGCAGCGAGCGGAGCTGTTGGAGGCGCCGTGAGCTGCTGAACGCACCAGAATAAGGAGCATTAAAGGAACAGTTCAACATTCGCTTCAACTCGTCTCTTTACACTGAAACATGAAGCTACAGCTGTTAGCTTAGCATTAGCACTAGAAACAGGTGAAACAGCAAACCAAAGGTACCAAACTCCACCTGCCAGCAGCTTTAACGCTTCATGTCTGACTGTAATCAGTGGTTCTGGTGCTAACAGCAGCCCGTCAGAGGATCCAGCTCTGCTTCACTCACCAAAACCTTCTCATTCATTCCTCCAATTACGTCGGACTGCTGAGTTTACAGCTGAAATGTTCCCAAAATACAAACTGAAAGCTGGTTTCTGTCCTGGACTTGACCACCAAGAAGAGCTGAGGCGTCTCAGACAGAAGCAGACTGAAGGAAATGTCTGGACCTGAAGCCCAGATGAACCTAAATCCACCTGAACATGAATCCAGTTTGAACTATTCATGAGTTCAGTTTCCAGACTGACCGACTTCCTGAAGGATGTGATGACGGATGGAAACTTGATCAGGTTGAAATCAAAGAAGCTGAAATGAGGAAACTGACAGAACCACTTTAGTGTTTTTATCTGACCCGGTTTTGTTTAATGGCCCGATGAGTCCCAGTTAGACCGGCTTCTGTCTGAGCTGCAGCCGTCGGTTCTTCTGGTGTCACAGCTTTTCTTTAAACAAAAGTTTTTGGTGCCTGAATGCAAAGAAGTTTTAGTACAACAGAGAAACACGCTGAGTTCAGTTGAAGAAGAAGCGACGCCGGACAGAACCGCCTCCGGTCCGGTTCTCTGATCTGAAGCTTCGCCGTCAGCTTTAAGGCGAATCAGAACAAGTGATCTTTCTCTGGTTCCTGAGCACATCGAGGACTTTAAAGGTAACTTTGCATGTCAGGCCCAGACCGATCATCTGGAGTCACAGCCGTGAAGCAGACGTTCAGACCCGAGTCAGCCCGACCAACGTGGAAACGGTCCCGAGACAGACTCAGATTTACTCAATAAACCCAGAAAGGTCACCCCACTGAGGAAGAAGACAAAGGAAACAAGTTCTGGTACAAAGTGACCCGAATGTGGACTCGGTTCTTTTAGTGTCGCTGCAGTCAGCCGTGTGTTTGTGACTCGGGTCTGAACCGCTTTCAGCCCAAAACAACCTCAGGACGACCAACAGGAAACAGTGCAACTCTTTACATGCCGGCCGGCCGGTCGGATCAGAACCGGAGCCTCGTATTGCTAAACGCTGCTACAGTGGAGCTCTTGAGCGCCGCCAGTGGCTTCAGGCTGTAACAGGATGAACCCAGAAGCTAATCAGACGAGTATTAGTGTCTCATGAACAACGTGTACGACTGAAGAAGAAGAAGAAGAAGAAGAAGAAGTGGAATAACAGGTGAGAGGAGTGCGACGCCTTCAGCGCCGGAGGACTCGACGCAGACACGTGGTTTCCCTTTAATGTGTTCCACCGGGTCACAGCTCATCAGAACAGAACCAGGGTTCCTCTGTCCAGCTGCTGTCTCTGACATCCAACTTTATCTCCAGTTTGTCTCTGAACACGACCACTAATGGAGATGATAAAGCCGTCGTCACTTTGAGTTTAGGTCTTTGTGAATCTGATGCGTTTGGTCTACGGAGCGTCTGAAACGCCTGAAACCGTTTCATGAAGTCTGTTGGTGCGTCTGGCGAGTCCAGGTTTCCGTTTGGGTCACTTCTGTTACTTAGATTCATATCGTCTGAGTTTCAGTGAATTCTGACGGCAAACTGATGGTTTTCTTTCCATGATTTGCTTTAATTCAAGCATTTCACGCCGTCCACATTTGAACCTGTGGAACATTTAAATGCCTGAAATAAAGCGAAGCATGAAGTGGTGTGACTTCAGAGCATTACGGCGTCATCGCGGACCAACGGACGGGTTTAGGTGTCTCTTGTTGGGCCTTCATGTTCAGCAGACTGACAGGAAACGCAGAAAAAGAAAATGCCAGTAAAATGTTTCTCTTTGTTGCATGATTTAATTAAATAAGTTCATATTGACCAGACGTTAACTGAAGGAAGGTGTAGAACGTCTGATGCATGATTCTGGCCCGTCTCTCTTAGATCCAGTTTAATCCCATTTAACTGCTTCACACTGAATCACGACAGCAAACGAAGACATGAGAAGAAAACACTGATAAAATGAGTCCTGACTTTGTTTTGGTGATTTAATATTATTCACTTATGGAAGATTTAAAACAAAGTGAAATGTGCTGCGAGTTTCTTTCTGTGCGTTTATTGATGAAAAGACAAATCAGTGAAGTTCCTCTAGACGCTGGGGGCGCTCCCGTCTTTCCTGAATCCTACTTTATATTTCATTGAACCTGACCTGAGTTATGACGGCGAGTGAACACATGAAGAGGAAACTCGTCTCCGTCCGCCCGCCGGCTGGAGACAGAAGCTGTAGATGCAGGTTCTGGTTCTGGTCTGTGCAGATCAAGCTGCAGCTCTACTTAACTGAAGCTAACTGCAGCGTCTCTACGTACCGGCGGCTCAAGAAAAACACAGAAAAATAAGCGGAGAATAAGAGGAAAATAAAGCGACGGGAGTCTGAGCTCCAGCAGCAGGTCTGAGATCAGCGACACGAACGTCAAACACCGACTACAACAGAAGAAACCGAGGAGAGGAGAGGAGAGACGGCCGACGACCGGCGGTAGAAAAATACATGTTAGAAAGGTGAGCAGAGCCTGTTGGTGCTGAAGGAACACGAGAGGAGAAACCTACCCAGATAAAGCTACGTCTGCGGACCGCCGGCCGCACACAGACGGTTCAGGAAAGACTCGAGCAGAGAATCGCTGACAAACAGCCTCCTCACATTTACACACAACACTCAGCCACCTGGACTTTACTGAGAGGGTTTCTGATAAACGTTGTCGTCGTGGTGGTTCCGTCGCTGACAGATATGGAAAGTTAAGTTGCATTCAAGCAGTCTACCCCAGTGCTGGTGACAAATATACAACTAGTAGACAATCTTCATTATTTAGTCAACAAAATAGCAACCAGAACTATTTGTTTTCCACTGAAGCGTGAAGAAGTTCCACCTTTACGGAGAATCTTCCTGCCGATGGAGCTACGCAGCCACTTTGTTGTCCTTCTGGAACAGACGGAGAAAAGAAACAGAATCAGCCACAGATCAGAAGAACCGCAGAACACCACAGAACCACAGTGAGCTCTGACTGAACCGCCTCCATTCACACACAGCTGAGGCTCAGTCAGAACCGTTTGCTGCTCAGAAGGTTCTCAGGCATCGCACATCTACAGAACAATGCTGTCAAGACGTTTTTACAAAATCCAAACATGACAGGGCTGTCGGCCATCTTGAAACATGGCTGCCATTTTGAATGTTTACATTCAGTTCATCTGCATTTCATCTCAGAGCGTCTCCGTTTGTTCACATTTTAACTGCTGCAGCGGCGACAAAGCTGCTGGTCTGACCGGCGGCGGCACAGCGCCACGATACCGATGTAACGACCAGCTATCAACGATCAGTTATTAACGACCAATTATCACTGAGCAATGATCAGTTACTAATGATCAGTTATTAATGATGATTGATCACTGATCAGGTATCACTCCGTGTGTGTTCTCCATGCAGCAGTCGTTACCCTGTATGCCGACAGGTCGGCGAACTCTCTTCCCGCCTGGTTTCCTCTGTATCCGCCCCGGTAGGCTCCGCCCCCCTGCGGCGGCCCGAAGGACCCTCGGCTGGCCGGACGGCCCCGCCCCCCCCGGAACATACCCCCGCGGCCACGGTAACCGCCGCGACCGCGGCTCTGACGCAGCGGGATGCCGAACGTCTCGGCGTTCATCCTCCTCTCCTCGGCCCAGGTCTGCCGACGCTCCCTGCAGGAGGAGGCAGGCGTTAGCCAGACAGAACCAGACAGAACCAGCAGAACTAGCAGAACTAGCAGACCCAGCAGAACCAGACAGAATTCAGTGAATATGCTGCAGCATCATCTCAGAGCTGATATCTGGACTCTAAACCTAAGTTCTGCTGAACAGTGTTTCCTCCTCTCAGAGGACGTCTGCTGGTTCCTGTGGAGCCATTCTGAGGTTCTGCAGGTCCAGAAATGTAGACCTGAAATGTGTTGAATAGCTTCCATCGGATCAGAACAGTTGGACGTGAAAAAGACATGTTTTATCTCAAGTTGTAAATTACTACTAAGACGGTTCGGTCCCAGAGTGAGTCCTGTCTGCAGATGGGCCTGGTAGGTTCTGGAGGTAAAACGGTCCTTCCATCACAACCACCATCACACATGCTGATATGAGCCTGGAAGGGTTAGGGTTGGTGGATGAGCAGAACCAGAACCAGGCAGACTCACCTGGGGAACGCTGAGCCTCCAGACTTGTCATTGGCTTTCCTGTGAAGAGGAAACAGTGGGTCAGAGGAGATGGAGATGTTCTGGTCAGAAACACGTCTATAGGAAGTCTGACTCTAAAGCTCAGTTTGGTGGTTTGGACGGTTCCAGGTGTGTTTCATGGGCCCACATTCTGCACGTTTACTGGTTCATGTTGGGTTTCCATCCTTCATGTGTGAAGACGCTGAAGGACGGGATGAAGCTAGGAGATGATGGACGGGTCCATGTCTGCTTCCTCCACCTCCGGCTAACCCAGAGTCCAGTCACACGACTGCCTCAGACGTGATCTAACAACTGCTCCAGACTACATACTGACTGAAACGGTCCAAACCCTGTGAACACGAGTCTAAACGGCTCAAACCCAAAGCTCCAGAACCACGGTACCTGGTGTCGTCACAGGAGATGTTGTCGAAGAAGGACTTGGACTTGTCGTAGTAGCAGTTGGGTCCCAGCGGGTCGCACTCGTCCTCGGCGTTTCCTTCGCTGTTCTGAGTCTCCACACCAGAGTCGCCCTTGTCCTCCCCGTTCAGCGCCTTCTCCGACTTCTCGCTCTTCTCGTCTGCAGGACGTAAACAGCAAAAGCTCAGAACTGAAGGTTCTACTGGTTTCTGGACGGATCTATAAATGTAATCAATGAGGATCAGCGTTTCTTCAGATAACTTCAGTCCACCGTCACAGAGGACAGAATCCAGACAGCATTCAGGTTTGATTCAACAGGAACCGAGCCTGACATGAACACCAGCGAGCTCAGCAGCTGGCAGCCAATCAGAACGTCTGGAGCTGTTCTACAGTCAGCTGAGGTCAGTGTTGAACTGTCCATGTCACTTCAATCTCATGTCCTTTATTCTTCATTCAGGGTTTCTTTTTACAGCCACATAAGCTCTAATTATGACGTCATAACGATTAATGAATGATGGACAGTAATCCACTACACCCTGTTACGGGTCGGTTTACTGGTTTTACTGGTCTATTCTGTGCAGCAGTTTGGTTCTGATGCACTTCAGTGTGCTTCACAGATAAACTGATGACATCCAGCTGCTCATCCTGTCCAGCTCAGCGTCACACTGACTCTCTGTGGTGGAAGCAGCTGATGACAGACGAGCTGGAAGCAGGAAAACCAGTAGGTTTGGTTCCACTAGAACTTCCTGTTCTGAGCTCGGCTCCACTGACTTTACAGTAACAACGGTTCAGATGTGTGAGAACACAATCAGAACCATTCACAGTGAGTGTAATAAAACCCTTCAACCCTGTGTGCGGGTCAGAAACAGAACCTTTGAGCTTCAGCTTGCTCTGGAACTCGCGGTCGATCTCCTCCTTGTTGAACTGAGCGTTGGCGCTCTCGAAGTCAAAGTCTTTCTCGAACTTCACGGGCCCGTCTCGGCGGACGTTGAAGCGTCCTCGGCCGCGGTGGCCTCCTCCCCGACCGCGGCGGTTGGCTGGCGCTCCGGCGGCTGCTGGTGAAATAAAACAGTCCGTTAGCTGGCAGAACCGGAACAGAACCAGAACACAAAACCACACATGAGGTAGTAAATCAAGGCACACGTCCACGATGGAGTGTTTTCTGGTTTAAGATGATTAAGAGCCAGAGCTCAGCAGCTTGGCTTCAGATGTTAGAAATCAAACATGGAGGAAGCAGGAAATGATTGAGAGCAGCTCACAGCACATTCTCACGTGTTCTTATCACTGAAACCATGAAAGCAGCACCTCCACGCATTGACATGACACCATGTCACCATGTCAATGTGCACACACGAGCAAACAGAGCAGGTCAACGGGGGATGGATCAGCTGAGGATGAGGATGACTGGCGCTGTAGGAGGAAGGCTACATGACTCCAAACTCATCCCAGATCACATTCAACTCTTTAGACGTCACTCAGAATGACCCGAAACTCAACCAGACTGACTCCAATTGTCCAAATTACTCAAAGATGTTTAACATGACTTAGAATTTGTCCGAAGTGACTCAGAACTTACTCAGAAGTTGTCTTAAATGGCTTTGGCCCAAAATTACATTAAACTTGACATGAAGACTGAAATATTGTGAATAACGGCGTCCAAATGATCAGTCTGGCTTCAGACGTGAGAGACACTCGACTACAGAGGTCAGATGGTCGTCTCAGCGCCTCCACCCGCCAGCTGAAGCGCTAACGGAGGATGACGGAGGATGAGGAAGAGCATGCACTTTGACCTGGGGCTCGTTTACTGGACTCCCTGCCTTCTCCTCGGCCCTGATCGCTCTCTGGTTTGGGGACTTTCTGGACGTCTGAGCCTGGAACAGCAGAATCCTTTAGTGTCCCAACAACCACAGCACAGTGAACACACAGCCCTCAACAGGGGGCGCTATTCTCCTACCTAAAAGCACAGCAGGTTCCCAAGAGGGAGCTCTGGAACAAAACGTTAGCAGATCATCTCAAGAACAAAGGCTGTGTGTGAAGAGGAGACGCATCCTGAGGAAGGTTTACACTCATCATCATCATCATCATCATCATCACTAACAAGCAGGAGCTCAGCGTGTAGACGTGAACCCCTTCAAACCGGACCCCTTCACTGAAGCTGGTTGCTAGCTAAACGCTCTCATTTACTTTAGTCAGAATAAAAACAAACCTATCGACTGTTTCATGTGAACACTAAAGACTGAACTGCATGTCAATGAGTTCAGCACCAGAGCGTGGACGGATTACGGAGCGACAGCAGCCGGTCAGAGGCAGCTCCAGCTCCACACCTAGGACCTCCAGGTGCCTACTGGTACCTGTGCTGCTGCAGATGAAACGTTCATGAGAGCAAACATCACACCAGCATGTGTCCTGCTGCTCCAGCGCGTTGCTCTCTGGACGTCCTGCTGCTGCTCCACGTCTGAACAAGTCTTCTCCAGGTTCAATAAAACCAACATATAAACAGTCACATGTAGGATCAGGTTCAGCTCACACCTGTTCTACCTGAGGAGTCGGTCTGCGTCGGCCCAGGTGGAGGTGTCGCTCCACCGCCTCACCTCCACCTCACACTGGAAGCGTTCTTACACCTTCAAGGGCCAATGACTGTTCATTGATGTCCTTCTGGAGAAGTTCTGTCCTGTTCTGTACAGACTGATTCACTGTCAACATCTAAAACCAGAACCTTGTCTGGTCCAACTTCACCACATCAGGTTCTGCTGATGTTAGAGCCTCAACAGTTGGTGAAATGTGACCAGAGACTGTCTGAGTCACCACATTTCATGGCTGCTGGAGTTTTATTTCTTTGGTTCTGAACCTTTAAAATGGACTCGCAGGATGTTTTGTTGACTGTGACATCTGTGTATAAATGAAGAAGTGAACAGAACCTGGCACGGTGGAGGCGCATGTTCTGTGACTTCTGTCTGATGACCAGAGACTGACTGGTGTGAGAAGGGTTCTTTCTGAACCAGTGGTTCCTACGTGGAGCTGTGACTGTCATCGGTTCTGGTTCTTCTGCCTGACATAAAGCACAGCTAGTGCGTGACTGGACCGGAGCGTCGCGAGGCCTCAGGTGAATGGCGTGTGACGGCTGCTTCTTGCTGGAGCTCTCACCTGATTGGCTGAACAGGGAGTGTGGCAGCCCTGCAGCCCGGTCTACAGCAGAGATGGTTCTCGGTGCGGACCAGCCCCGGACCGCCTCACCCCTCCTCGTGTCCACGCCGTCCTGCTGCGTCACCTTCTGCCCGCTCGGACCGCCGCCGGGGGGCGCTGTGCGGCCGTGGGCGGGGCTCCTGCGTCCCAGACCGGGGGCCGGCGCCGTGGAGGCGGAGGCCGGGGCCGACGGGGCGTTCTGGATCACCTGCTCCAGGGTCGGGCTCTTCCTCAGCGGGTCCAGACTGGGGCTGCTGCGGCCTGGATCAGAACCGGGACAGAGGGCGGGTTAGTGGGAGCACCGATGTGACGAGGAACGACGTCTGACAACACAAACACACATAAACCATGGCGGGAAACACGACGGGTCTGGTACAGAACATCTAGGAGCTGCTTCTACAGAACCACTTACACATTACATAAACATTTAAGCTACACTTAAAGCATCAGCTGCAGTCTGGAGCCCAGATGATCTTCATTCGTTTTTAAAGAGGACAAAACTACACGGAGAGAAATGAAACCTGAAAGTACATCAAGATGAATGTGTGATTTCAGTCAACATCATTCACCAACAGGTTGTCATGACCCGTTTGTAGTGAAGCCAGGAGAAAATGTTAACGTTGACTTCAGCTACTTCTTCCATAGTCATTACAGTACACAGATATTAACACGCCAAAGAAAGTCCAAAAACCGTTCAGAGTAAAGGAGTGGTCCGACCTCCATAACTACAAAACAAAGGAGGGAAGCCCGGCTGTAGTGATGCCACACTGCTGGACTCAGTCTGCGATGAACAGAACATGCAGCTGATGGTGCAGAACGCATCTAGAACACGAACCGGCTGTAAACTAGTCAACGCTGCAGGTTTGGTCCTGGAGACAAAGACTGATGTGGGTTTAGTCCATCAGTACTTCCTGTCCCTGCTGTGACACAGCACAGCACAGCAGGAGACTCTTCAGAAGCTCAACATTCAGGCTGAAGCCTTCAGGTGAAAATCATCCAACACCTACAGGTGACCCTTCAGTGCACACAAACACAGACGCTGGTCTTTCTGCAGGCTGAGGCGTCCACCGAGGGATGAACAGAACCGACACACTGACCGATGTGGACGAAACCAAAGCCTGCTGGTGTCAGAACGTGGACGGACACCAAACACACCAGGGCCCCGTGGGTCTGAACAACGTCTGTTTACACTGGACCTAGATAATACAGGAGCTCAGAGTGGACGTGGTGAAGGACGGTTACCATGAAGATCCTAACAGCTCTACCAGTACCAGTACCAGGCCCAGTACTTCATCAGTACTCCTATCTGCCTTCTTGTTCTGGTTGTCTACACGCTGGCCTGGAACCGATTCATCCTCTTTGTTCAGAAGTAATAATATTTATATTCTGTGTGGTGAGCATGTGGAGGAGAAGGTGAAGGCCTCGACCGTTAGAGGTCACATCGACGCCATGAGGCCGTCCTCCTCGGTTCTGTAGCATGCTTTACGTGGTACCAGAGCCACGGACAGGCCCTGAACCCTTGGATATCATGCAGACACTGGGTTTGTGCTTACCGACACCGACGGGTCCAAACTGGGGCGAGACCAGGGGGCTGGTGGTGAACTGGTTGTAGGCAGGAACCGGAGCTCGGTTAAAGAGTCCATAAGAACCAGATTGGAAGGGAGTCGGAGCCGAGGCCACGGCCGACGAGGAGCTGGAGCTCATGGACGACTAAAACCACAGAAGAAGAAGAAAGAAGGTTTGAGGGTCGGTGGACTGAGACCAGAGGACCCAGAGGAGGAAGGAAGGACGGTAACGGTTACCAGTTCATCCACTGATAACTTATTAAAGATACATTAACCAATAACCCATGTCAGTAAACGCATCGTAGACCAGCTGCAGTACCTGGTTGTTCCACCAGGTGGAGCCTCTCACTGTTTAGTCCTGTAGAGACCAGAGGAGGCGTCTACAGACTACAGCTCATGGTGGCAGCAGAGAGCATTGTGGGAGTTTAGCAGCAGCGGGACCATGACAGAGACTCTGAGGAGGTTCAGGACCTCCAACCAGAAACCTGTTACTGCAGAAGCTCAGACAGCCAGGGGCAGACCCTGGTCTGGATACGAGTTAGATAAGGACCTGTGATGTCACATCTACCTGAAACCAGGCGAGGGTTTACCTGGACTACAGCTGGTCTACCTAGACTACAGCTGGTTTACCTGGACTACAGCTGGTTAACCTGGACTACAGCTGGTTTACCTGGACTA